GACTTTTTTGGTTCCAGAACAGCCGATTAGTGTTACTTTGATCAGCTCTGAGTTCAATCACCCTCAGTCCATGTGAGTAGAGAAAGAACACCATTATCAATGGAGCTACAATACCAGGATTCACCATAGCATTTATTAAGTATTTTTATCCAGTCATGGCAGAAATAATCTATGAGTTTGACAGAAAATAATCTTCTTTAGTGTTCCCCAGTATAACCATTTACAACTTCATCTAATATCAGCCTTCACTGATAGATGATGCCTCCCATCTGTATAGCACAGCCATAAATACCAAGAGTTAAATAATAGTATCAAATTTAACAACAACAACAACAACAACAAAACAAAAAACAGGACAGGCAATATTTTAGTATAGCTTTTGTAGGATGGGCCATTTTCCATAAGGAATACAGATCATGTTGGGACCGAATAACCCACTATGAAGAGATCCAAACAGACCCAGACAGGATGAGCTGGCAAATAACAGCCCAACTGGATGTGGAGCTAATCTGGTTTGAATCTCTAATCCTTATCTGTTTTAGGACTCAGTACTCTGACCTGTTTGCTGAGCCAGAAAAGCTGAGATTCCATCATCTGAGGGTTAACATACTCAGAGGTGATAACAGTGATTCCTGGAAGAGGCTGGAGGTACATTTTCATCTCATTTTAGCTATTTTGCTTTCTTTTTGTATCTATTCTAGTTCCATTTGTTCGATAATGTTCTGCATCTTTTGTAGGCATCGGGTTTATTACTCTTTTCTTCTCAATTAATATTTATTGTATAGTTAGATGTTTTGTATCTGTATGTAATATCTTTCTTTCTGTTGGTTGACATTTTGCATCCCTATGTTACTCATGGTTATTATGCACGTCATTTAGCAGTCAATTTATGTCTTTGTATATCTTTTTGTGCCTATTTTGCATCCCTTTGTAGTACTTTTGCATTTTTTGGTAGATTTTTCTGCAACAGTAGAAGAGCTTTGTCGTCGTCCTGTCTCATTATAGCCATTTTCACTCTTTTTTTGTCATTTTGAATCACTTCATATCACTTTATGTGTCTTTCTGTCATATTTGCATCTTACATTTCTAACTTCCTGCCTCCGTTTGTAGTGTTTTGGTGTCTCTTTTTAGTTATTTTAACAGTGCTTTGAATTTTATTCTCTATGGTAATTTGGAACAGTTTTGCATCATTTTGTTTTCATTTCTCCTTTGTAATGTGTGTGCATCTTTGGCAAGTCTAAACCACTTTGTATCTTCTTGGTCATTTGGTCTGAATCTGTAGTTGCATTATTATGTAGGTACTTGGCATTTCTTTAAGGTAATTTTTCATCCTCCTATAGTCCCGTTACATCTTTACAATAATTTTTTAATATATAATTATTGTCATTTGGCATCCCTCTGTAATCATCTGTTATCTCCTTTGTAGTTATTTTGTATCTCATTTTGATGTCTAGCTGCTTTATTTTCTCTCGGCAGTCATTTCCCAACTGTTTATAATTGTTTTGCATTTCTTTGGATTAGCTTTGCACCTTAGTGGCCCTCTGTACTTGTTCTGTGTTTTGTAATCATTTGGTTAACTTTCCAACAAAAAACCTTGAGTCTAAGCATAGGCTCTGTGCCTGTCAAGTGCTTGAAGTAATCCTTAAAAAGTACAGAGTTCTTGTAACAACAGATATTTACCTCTGCTTTCTGTTGTAGCTCCTCAGTGGGCGACTCTGTTTCCCTGATAACCACTGCTTTTGTCACCAGCATGTCAGGATGCTGCTGCTTTGCCTCTTGGATAGCCATGGCAAGTGCCTGGGGACATAAAAACCATCAACGCGTGTGTCGCAACCCTCTCGTCCGAACATTGCTTTGCGAGGGTTTCTGTGAACAGTGTCTCTCACCTGATGTTGGTCCACATCATCATCTCCTGTGATTATAATCCTCTTCTCGATCCTGGTCTCTGAGTAGCCTCCTTTCACAGTCTGTTGAATAAAGAAAGAATGAAATTTAATGACACACAAGAAAAAGCAGCAGTGTGTTGTTACTGTAGTCTATTTTATCCATGTCCTCCTTCCAAAAATCTCTCTCCAATACACAGATCCATTCAGTTTATTTAGTGTGAGACTTTTTAACTGTTAAGTGATATGAAACTGGCGTCCTGTAAAACTAAACGTGTCTTTATGCACTAAAAGTCTTGATAACGTGGAAACACACTGAATCATGTTGTCTAACAGTAATTCAGTCCTAATAGAGCTGCAGGGAATAATGATTTGTATTATTAGTATTCATGTAAAGCCTATCAGAGTCGATCACCTTATCAAAATATATTGTTAACATATTAATTACAGTTTCCTGTTATTAATTAAGAAGTTAAGAAAATAAAATATTTGATCTTCCACTCCAATGCATCTATAAGGACGGGTAACACAGACAAAGATGTGATGGCGCTGACCTAATGCTTCGGCCATCAAACTGTAACCATAGGAACTCATAAAGTGTTACCTTGGTAACTTGTGTCGTGGTTGCTGAGGTAACGTTCTCAGCAGTGATGGTCAGCGGGGACACAACAGACTCTCTCCCCTGGGTGCTGGCTTTTACCTGCAGCACAGTCATTAGAGAGCAGTTATACACAAATAGACAGAGCCAACGGCAAAAACATCCTCGGACACAACGTGTACCCTCTGCCAGCCTTGGGGGGTCCCGGCCTCCTGGGATCTAAATCAAAGATCTGAAATCTGTTAACCGTTATCAGAGTTTCTGTGCACCACATGCCCTGGTCAACAAAACTCTCTTTATCAGCTGTTGGTAATAATACAAGCCACTGACAATGCTGATGTGTGCAGCAACAATTTGCTTTCTCTGCGTTATTAAAAAAAAAACTTCACTAACAGCTGTTCTTGTAATGATTTCCCATAGAAGTACATTCTTTGTAGCTTTGCGCCTAATAAACCAGCGAGTCTCATCAAAGTGGACTGTGCATAACAACAAAAATCAGCTCCACTGTCTTGAATGACAGTTGGCAACGGCAGTCCTTGTTCTGCTCTGCAACGCCGCTGCACCTGCTGCAGGTACTCCAGCAATTAGATTTCCAGAGCAGAACTTAAAGTTGCTAGCTGTAGCTACAGCGGTAAGAAAGCACGAGATGGGATGTGTCAGTGGTAACTGATTAGCAACAACCGAACTTTCAAAATAAGAGCCAGAAAATTCATCAAATGATCACATTTTTCACGCCAATGAACAAAAACATTGCACAATATACTTGCATGGCTTGTAAAGACAAGGGGACGATGAACACAACTGTTAGTTCTATTAATGAACTCTAATGTTTTTAGCCAGCTACGGGTATTTCAGTGTCATGTGGTATTTCAGTCAGTTTCTGTCTCAGCTGGACGATGATCACACACTGAGTACACACAGCCAGGATGGTGTTAACAAACCAGGGGAGTGGAGGGCACCCCAATTTGAAATATATCTGTGTATGTGTCACGTACTGTCTGTCTCTCTTCATTTACACCTACTATAGAACTTAGCCATCTTTGAAATGTCTGTTTAAACAATTTAGCATAAAGCTTAAACGTAATAATCATAACGTTCGTTTCATGCTGATTGGTCATACAGCCTTGAGTAGTTGTTTTAGTACTTGGTCACATATTTAATACATCAAGAAAAACTCTAAGTGTCATGGTCCTGGGTTGGTGACCCAGCGCTTTAAGTTTATTATCATTTTTCTAGTTTATTCTGATTTTGTATTTGTTCTTAAGGTTTGAGTTGTGTGTTCCTATCATCCCTACCTGTGCCTCCCCTCTGTGTTCTGTTCGTGTCCCCAGTTGGTTGTGTAAAACAGTCTGTGAGTTTCCTGTTTTACTTTGTAGGTTTGTGTCTCGTTATGTCCATTAGTTCCAGCTGTGTCCCTGCCTGTCTGCCATTTTCTAATTACCTGGTGTGTGTATTTATACTGCGTGCTCCTCGTCGCGTCATCTGTGTTCATTCTCTGTGTTACCCTGCATACTCCGCATTCCTCTGTGAATCCCCTGCGTGCTCTCCCTGCTGTCCTCCCTTCGTGTTCAGGTTTGCTACTCTTTGGTTTAGTTTCTCCCAGTTTAGTTCATCCGTAGTTCTGTTTTGCCATCCCCACTTTATATTTGGTATTCTTAATAAATCACCCTCACATCTGAATAAGTGCTGCATTTGAGTCCTCCTTCCACACATCACACGGCTGCTGCCCCAGTCGTGACACTAAGTCCAGCATTTTCAGGACTTTGACTTGGACAGAAATATAATGAGCATCAAGATAAAACAGCTATCACTGCTGGTAGAACGTAAATGTTGGAATCAACAGACTATGTTACAAAAAAACACGTGAAGATATCTGAATGTGGTCCTGCAAACAGCTGCCTCGTGCAACATTATTCATTTCTACAGTCGTTCAGCAGGATATGAAAGTTCAACGCAAGAAGAGAGGAAATCAGTGGACAAATCGCTAGGGTTTCTCACTGTGGACACACACACACACACTGTCCCTTTGCTCCTCATCAAAGATACTTACAGGAGAGCCATTTTCTTTGACGGCAGCGGGAGCCTCCTGTGGGCTGACGACTCCATAGTTCTGAAATAGAGGAAATGGCTCTTATTAACAGTCTTTAATGAGCTTTTTAAATACAATCTGTGCTCGCACAAAGAAGCATTAGTGCATATTTAAAATAGAATAGTGTGGTTTTGTTCTCTGCTAATTGTAGTGGATTTAACATTGCACTTTGAGGAGTTTGATTTTACTTCTTTTTTCATAGAGTTTACATTTCAATTTTTCACATTTACATTTTGAACATGAAATTCAGATTTTTCTGATTATCAGTTTGATGTCTCGCATGGGTGCAACTTATTTTGGTTGTTTTTAATCACATCGTGAGTCTTTTCAAAAAAGTCATGTAAAACACATTCGTACAAAGGTCTGGAGTACTCATGCTGCAAAGACATCTTAATGAAGCATCCAGGATACTTCATTAAGATGTTGTGTTGAAACCCTACTGCCAGTCGAACAACAAAAACAGACAACAAAGTCTTGGCTAAAATGTATCTTTTTAGTATATAATAGAGCAGTTGTGGGCGACTCCAGGCCTCGAGGGCCGGTGTCCTGCAGGTTTTAGATCTCACCCTGGGTCAACACACCTAAATCACATGATTAGTTCATTATGAGGCCTCTGGAGAACCTCAAGATATGTTGATGAGGTCTTTAGCCATTTAAATCAGCTGTGTTGGTACAAAGACACATCTAAAACCTGCAGGACACCGGCCCTCGAGGCCTGGAGTCGCCCACCCCTGTTATAGAGACAACATATATATGATGAAATGAGGCCGTTCACACAGCGAACATTCTGACACACTACAGCAGGAACATAATGGTCATATTCAAAAACCTGAATTAAGGCTGCTCCTCAGTTAATGACAATGCCAGGGCTGGACCTCCACAACAGACATGTTGGCATGTCAAACAGGACAAGTGGCTATAAACAACATAATGAGCACCGTCACTGAGCTGCTTCATGGTGTCACTGCTGTTTGGACAATTTATTCTAATTAGTTTCACCTGTTTTTCCGGTCGAGTCAGACCTGCTGTTAATGCTGCCTTACTGTCTTTATTTATTTAAGTCATTAGATACAGTGAAAGCAATCTAAAGCACATCACACGTGTCTGCTGGTGAAGTTCTGCTGTTTATCTCTGTGACGCACTACACTGACTCGTTAAAAAGTCTCACTTTAAAGAAAGTGATGAGGACTGATTTACTGCTTCATTAAATCCAAGTCAACATGTTTTACCTTTAACCAACAGTGTTTGTGCTGACAGCATCCATGTCATCATGGATATATACAAGGTAATATATAGAAATAAGAACACCAACCCCTGTACACCCCTGTACTCAAAGAGCACATATGGATACAGTAAAGGTAATATAAAAATAGATTTAAGTACAGCAGTGTGCTCAGAAACAAGTATTGCTTTGGCATTTTAGCAAGAATAACTATTTTGTGCAGGACTTTTGTATAAAAGGTGAAGTTTTTCACTCTTCTATGCAAAATCAGATATTTGAGGGATTTTATTAAATGTATTAAATGTACAACGGTTCAATGGGACTTCAAAGTGAGCTTTTCACGAGCATTCATTCTTCATTCGAGAGCATCTCTTGGTAGAATTGCTAGTGTGTTCAAGATTATTGTCTCACTGAAAGGTCTCGTTCCTTTTTAAGGTCAGCACAGGTAAATTACAACGCCCTTCAGCAGACATGAATCAGCTGGCAGCTAAATGCTAGCTGCCCAGTCCTTGATGTCACCAAAGTGACGATATTTTCCATCACCATATTTGGATGGCATGAGAAGCAAGTGGTTAAATAAAAACCGAAATTTGATTCATTTATCTAGCAGATTGTTCAAAAAGAACAGCAAACACATTTTTCCTGGGAGCCTCCCAGTTGCGTCGAATAATTCTTTGTGCCGCAGAAAGTGCTAGAAACATTCCTCAGAGATTTACATGACAGCATCATCCAGTAGCTGCATGTCCTTGACTACTTCCTGTTCCACCACATCGCAAAGGTGTTCCATGGGATTGAGATCATGTGACTGTGGAGGGCATTTGAGTACAACAGACTCATGATGAAGTCATGTTGGTGTGCAGGGTGCACTATCCTGCTGGAAGCAGCCATCAGAAGATGTGGACATGGCCAGCAAAAATACTCCGGTAGCCATCACACCACCAGCAGCAACTATTCATACCAGGCAGGTTGTATCCATGCTTTCGTGTGGTTTACACTCAATTATGATCCTACCATGCAAATGTTGCAGACCAGCAACACTCTTTTAGTGTCCAGTTTCACTGAGCCTTTGGAAAATGTAGTTTCCTGTTCTTAGCCGATTAGAGTGGCACTTGGTGTGATCTTCTGCTGCTGTAGCCCATCTTCTTCAAGGTTTGATGTGTTGTGCATTCAGAGACGCTCTTCTGCATACCTTGCTTTGAAGGATTTTGTGTAGAGAACTGCCGTTTATTGGATAGTTACTCTCTTTTGGACCTTTCCCTGTAAACCCAAAGGATGGTGGTGCAGGAAAATCTAAGCAGATCAATAGTTTCTCAAATACTCAACAACCATGCCACATTCAGAGGCACTTCAATTACTAGACAGTCAAGATGCTAACCTTGTCATATTTGTAGTTGCCGCTACGTGATTGGCTGATTATTTTTATTATTATGCATCAGCAAGCAGTGGAAGAGGTGTACCTATTAAAGTGTGAGTGTATATACACCCTGTTTGTAACAGCAGACTCATAAACCAAGAGTTTACTCAGAAAACAGTCTCCTCTTTGGTGTAATTTACTGGAATGGAAGTATAACCCACCAGCAGGAGGTTTTTTTTACACTTAAATAATTCATTTATATACATTTTAAATCTTTTTATATCCCTAATGAGACTCATGGGCACCCACAATTAACCGATCTCTCTAGATTTTGTCACTATGGCACTTCAGTAGCAGAGAGAACGTCAGATTAGATAAGCTTAGTCACATCAAGGTTTAATAATTGGTACTAAACTGGAATGTGAGATTTACTTTTTGATGGTGTCCTAACTATAGCTTTATATCCAACGTTTTGCATTTGACTCATTTGTTTTTATTCCTTTAAAATGTGAAAAATGACAAGTTTGTATTTGTGTGTCACTCATTTCCATTATTGTTCTGCTTTAAAGAGGCTGCTGGTGTATTTTCATGACTATATGTGATTAATTGTTTGCGAAAGCAAGATAAATTGTCCTACAGTGTGCTGTCGGTGCTTTGCAGAGAGCTGGAACGGAGCAGCCTTTGTGCTTTTGTTTAGACCCCAAGCTCAACAGACAAAGCACGTCTCCCTCTGCTGGCTGTGCAGTGTCACTGCTGACGATCGGTGTCTGCCCAAGAATGACGTCAGTCTGCCTGAGACGCATACATGCACACTCTGTACTGTGGCTTTCTCTGACATCTTTGAAAATGTGACTCAACGCTGATGTGGCACTTCAAAGGCACCCTCTCTACATCATCGCCTGAGTTCATCCACACTATTAGCTGAATGGCTAAAGAGCCCAGCGATGATTACATTTTAATAAGGCTCCTGTGGGACAGCCAGCCGGCACTCAAATCTCTGCCTCCGGAGATGAATGGGATTCGCACCTGCTTTCATCATCCTCATTAATACACTGTCAATACTTTAATCACTTCATAATGATGCTATTATTCCATCCGTATCTGGGGAATATGGCCATCATGTCACTGCAGCTCAAAGAAGACGCTTCTTCCTCTAATCAAGCTCTGTACAAATAAGAAATTCTTAACCGCGAGTCACTTTGATGGCGACTGTTGGAGCTGATCCTCATTTCCTCTTTCTGCCAGTCCCGTAGCCCTAATTCTTTAGCACTCACCTATAAGTATTTAAAGTGCTCATCATATTCAACTCAACATTTCCTACAGAAGTTAAAAAAAAGTAAATACTTTGTCAATTTGGGAAAACAGATCTTCATCTTGTTGATGAGTTAGAGGAATAGATAGCAAGCCAAGCTCAGTCTAGAGCTTTCAGGCACATCCAAAGCCCAGTATCTAACATGTTGTAAGTTAAAGCTGTGCAAATAAATACGTGTAAAGCCAACAGCACCTTCCATGCTGACTGGCATGGAGGTTCTTGTAAAAAAAAACAAACCCTAAAATTGTACATTTTGAAGCAAAGATTTTTACACTTTAGAGGTGCAGGTCGGTGGATTATGCTGTTTTGTACACAGTCAGGACTAACCATGAGCTAACAGTCTATTGGCTGTGGCTTTGGTGTTGTTTTAGGCCAAAGTCACACTGGTATAGTGACTGGCTGGCGAACACCCATCAATCACAGGGCGCTAGAAATAAGTAAACAGTTGCTGAAATTCACTGTTTAATCGACTTCTGAAGCCCAGTCACATACACCTAGTGGCTCTCAGTGAACCCCAGTAACTTTTATAAAATGAACACCATGTTGTATTAAATAAGGCTTGAAACATTAAACTTACAGGTAGGTTTTCCTGTATACTTACACACACACACAGCATTTTAACACCCATAGAAAATTACCAGTCCAAGTTCTTACTAAGAGGTATAAGAAGTTTAATGCTATTGGGTGCAGTTTGCTGAACTCAAAAAGATAATCTGGTCCACAAAGAGCGCACAATAATCAAGAATACAAATTTTGATCAAATTGTTTGATCATGTTTCGGTTTTTTAGAATTATTCATGGCACCTCATGCAGACTATAGTGCTGTTGTTTCTACTGCTTTTGCGTTCGGTTTACCTGTGGAGAGACATTAACGACGTTGGCGTGAGCTTCCGATCCATTTGTGTGCGTCTCCGTCTTGCTGTCGGCTCTTTTCAGCTTGTGGGCCACGCTCACCGCGTTGGGGTCTTTCTTTGCCACGGGAGGCTGCATCAAACACAAACAGGACAATACAGTCAAAGAGCAGCAAGTGATTTGCTCACAGCAAGTCGCCTGAAGACTTCAGACCCATTCTCGTAAGCAGCATATTAAACAAAAGAAAGCAACCGAGCGATGTTAACTTACAGGAACAAACTGTGAAATGTATTTTTATTAGTCTGGATGACAACGTGCAAGAGGTGCAATAAATTCAAAGAAACACCAACAAAAATAAAATAGGTGAATTACAATTAATACATAAAAATGAGTAGAACAAAAACTGAACACAATAAGGAATCAACAAAATTGAAGGAACACATCATGGTCCAAAAATAAATAAAAAATACAGCAGGGGGCTACTGAAGTCCAGCCAGGCAGGGTGAAGCCAGTGGGTGATGATGGCGATGAATACGTATAAATGCATTCATCTGTCTACCTCATGATGCATTCCCTCCTCAGGAAGCCTCTCCTCTATGGGAGACTTGTCCCGAGAGCCCATTAGACGGGCAGAGTAGAACCTGGAAGTCTCCTCAAAGTCCTCCCGGCCCACCTCTGGCTGTCGCTCCCTCTCTCCCAGTTCGGGCACACCCTTAGAAAAGTCCTCGAGGCCCGAGTGGAGGTCAGTGATGACAGTGAAGTCGACCTCGGCCTCCAGGCTGGACGTGGAGCTGACCGTCATGCTGGAACACTTGCGTTCGATGCCCAGGTGGGTTTCCTTCATGCATGCCACGGTGTCTCGTTCCTGCTCCTCCTCCGAGGCTATGCTCGGCTGAGGCCTCCTCTCCCCAAACTCCTTCTGGTGCAGGTACAGACACAGGATCAAAACTCTGGCATCGCACAGCTACAGTGTTT